GACATCTATCTTCTTAACAGACTAGAAGTCAACATGCCAGAGGAGCCCACCTTCAACCATCCTGGGGAGGCATCTCTAAGGGTGTGAGAGCCTCCCTTTCTTGCTCAAACCTCCCATCCCTCCTTTGCCAGCAAATGCTCTGAGTGTCACAACATTCAGGTGAGAAGACTTCATTACCTGGGCAGCTGCAGGATGTCTTTCGCATCCCGGGTGCGGATGAAAGAATGCACCCTTGGATCAGCCACTTGCTTTGGCAGGTTCCAACGGACACTTTCAGCAGCCACCTGAGCTGGCAGGTCCCGCCTGGCTCGGCTCAGCAACCTTGTGGTCCACCTGGATAATGAGGCAAAAGAGGAAAAACCGATAAAAATTCTGAGTTATGTTGGGTGTAGAACTAACAAGTTGCCCCTCCATTGAGAAAGGAGTGATTTGTTAAAAGACTGGCTGCCTTTGATTGACTGGAGGTATAAGAGGTGGCAAGGGGGACCTGGAGTCCATCTTCAACCAAACCTAAAGACCCCGCTCCAAACTTTGAAAGAACAGGGATGGTGGGAAGATCCTACAGGCAGACTGTCTTTCTCTACCACCAGTCTTAGCCGCAAGTCTAAGTGCTGTTGGTGCCTACTTACTTCCTTTTGAAGTTTGATGCAATATCCAGCTTGGTTGCATCTGCTCCGAAGAACAACCAGGAACCCAGGTAGAGAAGAGTAAGCGAAAGGGCTTTCATCTTGTCTGGGGAGAGAAGGGCAACGGGGCAACACAAGCTTGATCTTCTCCAAGGTGTGTGGGGGAAGGTTTCTTGGCTGCTCCGTGCACCAAGCGGGCCCCTCCTCTCCTCCCTCTGCCTCCTTCTCCCCATTCCTAAGCGAGTGAGCCCTTTCCAGGCTACGCTAAACATGAATCATTCATTACAGCGGGATCAATACTGAGCGTCCAGGGCTCCCTCTGACACACTTTCCCTTTGCTCAGAAAGGCTGAAGGCTGAAGCCCCCCTCCCACAAAAGCACCCAGGTAAGAGTTACTCTCCAGTTGCCCACCGCTGCTTTTCCCCTCTCCCACTTTGCACAACGCAAGTCACCTCTGACCGGCGCTGCTTTTAGGCTCGCCTCCTCCCTTGAACTTCGAAAGGAAGCCCCGATCCAAGGACCGGCAGCCCGGAGCCCAGTCTCTCGCGCCCGCTTTCCCACCCGCCGCGCTACATACACACGGGACACACGCTGCACACGCGCTCCGCTTGGACGACTCCCTTTTCTCCTTTTTTCCTCTCCCTCGCCCGCACCTTCAACTCCCACTTAAGAGTTCAAATAAGGATGATAATAATAATAATATTAATGCAGACCTGATAAGGATAATCCAAGCGAGGCTTCCCACAAATCCTCCTGTAACTTAAATGCAAAGCTATAACCCCGAAAGCTGCTCGGCTCCGCGTCTACCTCGCTTGCGCCACTGAAGTTACCACGGGCTCCCCGCGCGCCGCTCGCCCTTTTTATAGGCAGCGGCGGGAAAGGGGGGGAGGGGGGGAAGAAGGGGCGGGGCTATTTACTAAGGTCACGAGGGAAGGGGGTGTGTGTGTGTAGGGGGGGGGGACAGGCTGTTGAAAACTAGGGAGTCGTTTTATTTAACTCCATTGGAAATGAGATCTAATGGACTTTGGGAAAGTGGGGAAACTCCCAGCACTTACCTCTTCAGGAGAGCCTTCCTAACTTGAACTCCAGAGGTAAATATGGTCCGGGCAGATCAGATTCAGCTCGGATTCTTTTGGGCAAGACGATTCAGCGCCTGGGGAAGCGTCCGGGCTCTCCAGGACCTGGGATGCCGAATTTAACGGCCGGGGCTAGGAACGCGCCACCGCCAGCAACTCTTCCCTTGCAGCTAGCAGCGTCCCTCTCCTTTCGAAAAGATTGCGGGAAATTGCATTTGCCTCTAAAACCGAGAGTTGATTGGGGGCAAAGGGCTCCTTGGACGGGGTTAAATCTCTTCAGCCTTCACGCCGAAAGGAGAGAAAAAGCTTTTCAGCAAAAAAAAACAAAAAACACAAAAAAACAAAAAACACCGTTTCAAGAGCTTTCCTCCCTCAAGCGAGACGGGCGCGCAGGAGTTGCTGCAACAAACCTTAAAAGCTTAGGAATTGGGAGAGAGAAGGGGGAAAAGGTCTGGGTGTGTACGTGCGCGGATAGGCGCAGATGGGTGTGAGCGCGTGTGTGCATGGAGGGAAAAAGCGCCGTGGACCAATGTATTTGGTGCTGGGCAGGAGATGCACCGCGAGGAAGCCAGAGCGCATTACTCAGCTGCACGGGAGCGTTCCTTCGCCGCTATCTCTGCACCTCCTTCGCCCGCCCGGCGGGATCGCTTTCCCAGCCGCCAGCTGACGTTCATTCGCACACGTAGCCTGCCGGGTGCAGCTTCCCCGCCAGCTGGCTCGCCTCCTGGGAACGTGCAAAGCTATGCAAATCAGAGGAGCCTGTGGCTCCTCTCGCTCCGGCTCCTCGCCCTCCCTCCTTCCCGCTCCCGTTTCCCAGGACTTTGCCAAGAACCGAAAATAGATTTGAAATTCCCGGGGACCCCCCCCCCCCTTTTTTTTTTTTTTAAATCGAGATCGCTCTTGGGGTGGCTGCGAAAAAGGAACCGCGCGCGGAGGAGAGAAGAGCCGGCTGCCGATCCTGGGCCAGGTGTTCAGGCGCCAGGAACGACCGAGCGGGTGACTCGGGCCCAGAAGGGAGGGCGTCCCATTGGCAGCAGCCTTCGGGAAGAAACCCTGGCACCGCAGGAATACGGTCGGACGGGATCTGCGGTGGGTGCATGAAGCAGGCGAAGCGCGTACTTAGGGCGCTTCGTAGCCTAAGCTTGGCTTCGCTTTGCAGTATGTACAAAGGGCGGGTGGGAGGCAGCAAGATTTGTCAGTGCTTAGGGCACCAGGGAGCCTTAATCCGTCACTGGGTATCTGAGCGCTGGCCCATTTAGGACTCTGGATTCCTCCTGCAGGGGTGACTTTTGCTGGCCCCAAACTGAATCAACAACCCACCCATCCCCAGTTCTGGGAATCTGCAAAACTATCCACTCAAGTCAGGTGGCTTTCCTTGGCACTTCAAAGGTTGCCCAGATTGGATCCTTGGAGTTTGTAAGTGGTACTTCCGCAAGGGATACGTGTGTACATGCATATACGCAGAGGCAGGCAGGCGTGCACGCACACACATATGGGGTTGAGAGAGAGCACCTACACACATTTGTCCCTCCCCAAATCCTGCTGTGCTGCTTCTAGTTGGGTGTGTATATGTGTTCCAGAGCAGGATGACCAAAGAACCTCAGGAGGATTATGGCAGGAGTATATCTATTCCAAACAGGGTCACCCAAGGCGAGAAGGTCATCCCACTGCCCAGCTAAAGTAAGCAGACCTCTGTATTGGGTTGCAGTGATGTAGGAAGGTGCCAGAGGCAGACAGTTACTTCCCTGGCAAGGGCAAAGGGACTGTGGGAGAAGGCAATGAAGGTAAACCACTCCTCTGATTTTTAGTAAGAAAACCATATGAATACTGGTAATCCTCAATTTACAAAAAAATTATCTAGTGGCCTTTCAAAGTTATAACTTCACTGAAAAAGTGACCATTTTTCACAGGACCCTTGAAACATCTCCATGGTCACGTGATCGAAATTCAGCTGCTTGGCAACTGACTCATATTTATGACGGCTGCAGTGTCCTGGGATCATCTTTTGCCACCTGACAGCCAAGTCAATGATTAAACCAGACTCACTGAACAAGCGTGTTACTAAGTTAACAATTGCAACAATTCATTTAACAACTCTGGCAAAAAAGGTCATAAAATAGAGCAAAACTCACTTAATAAATGTCTTGCTTAGCAACATAAATGTTAGGCTCATTTGTGGTTGTAAGTTGAGGATTACCTGTAGAAGGTATAAAATGATTGATGGACGCAAATGCTGTGACACTCTATGGGTGTAAAAGTTGGACTTCCAAGAAGCAGGTTAGGAAGAATATTGATACCTTTGAACTTTGGTCTTGGAGAAGACTTGCGAGAACACTGGATAGTCGTGAAAACAAATCACAGGACCATAAACCAATATTCTCTAACAACAACAACTTGATGGTGAATAATAATAACAACCATAATCATGAAATCACACACATTTGAGGACTCAGACAACAAGGTGCAAAAATAGCTAATCCTTAATTTAAAGATGTGCTTTGTGACTGAACAAGATAAACCTTACTTCCAGTGAGAAAATCCCTGGCAGTATCAGGCACTATAGTATTATTGTAACTAGGCAGATGTAGATTCGATTCTTAGAGAAGTAGAATATTTGCAGTTTCTAAGGGGAAACCCCCGACTTCCCGCTAAGAAGTATGTTCCTCTAAATCCAGGAAAGTACCTATAAATTTCTGAGCCAAACCATAATGAAATATCTCAGCTGTTTCCAATAAATAGTAACTATCAGGATAAATTAAAGAATTGTACAAATTATTGATGCTATTTTCAGTGCATCCAGCAGAATGATATTTGCAGATTTCAGACATTTTAAATTTAACTTAATTTGGAACTATAGCTACTATACTTTTCCTTTTTCTGAATGTTTAGTCTGGACTTAGGCTTAGTTTGTATTTTTGTACAATCTGAAATGGGGAGGAAGGTGGGAAAAGAAGGAAATAAACAGGAAAAGTAGGCGAGACAACATGGCATTTCTGCCTCAGGTGGAACATTGATCAGCTTGTAAAAGTGCAAGATTTTAAAACCTTAATTAACTTTTATGACAAAGCAGTGTTGGATTAGTTTACATCTGAGGAAAGCAATTGTTTGGTTACCAGAAACTACAATTAAGGTGGGTGTGGGCAGGTGTGCCACATCACATGTAGCACAAGAGGAAGAGAGATGATATTGTCAAGTGGATGAAGTTAGAATTTTCTGTCCCTGAATCCTCCCTTTAACAGGGTATTTTACCTACCAGTTATCTATTTAAGTGTATTAGAAATCAACAGAACACTCAACATTTGTTATTTTAGATTTCTATGCAGCCTTATGTAGGAGGCACTGCATGTGATTCTGCTTTCTTACATTCACAATTATTCTGTGAAGTAGATTCTGCTTCACATGAATGACTGATCCAAAGATGCCCAGTGGATTTCATGAATTGGGATCCTAACCTGAGAGTATCCACTGGTGTGTTGGAGCTGCAACTCCCAGAATTTTAACCAGCATCTAGAACGACCTACCATACTAGGTCCATTTTTCCCCCATTCAATCATGTCCAGTTCTCAGAACTGGCTGGAAAGTCCCTGCAGTTTCCTTGGCAAGGAAAGTGTGATTCCCATTGCCTCCTTCCAAGGACTAAAGGAAGTGACTGGCTCAACATCCCCCAAGTGGCTTTGTGCCCAAAGTGGGACTAGGATTCATGTTCTCCTGGTTTCTAGCCTGATGCTTAACCATTACATCAAACTGGCTCTCAGTTCCATATTAAATGCTAATATATCTAACAGGACTTGAAAGTAAGCATACATAGGCTCCAAGTCACCGGTTGACCAATCTTGCTGTGCACAACCCTAGTTAGCCAACCTTGGCTGACCATAGGAAAAAAAAGCTAAGCAGAAGTTGGACATGGTTAATGCTTATGAAGTGTTAAGTTATATTGGTAGATTAAAAATATTCTAGAAAAAAGCAACGGGAAACCATATTTCCATTACCCCAATAAACTTTAAAGATGCTGTTATCATTTTAGCTACCTGTTATATCCCAGGCTGTGTAGAGGTTTTCCGCTGATTTTGCTGTGTTATTTTAAGCCTTTGTTAAGATGAATAACTATATGGACTGCACACTGGACACTGAATCACACAAAGTAACTATATTATAGTCCTCTTTTATTGGGAAGCTATATCAAATGATTTTTTCATAGCTCTGTATAGTTGTGCCAACATAGAACATTGGGTTAATTGACAAAAAATAATTTAAAAATATATACTATTGGTCATGCATGCACAATCAAAATATTTAAGTGTCTGTACAAGCTTAGTAGGTGTCATCTCCATTAGGTATACCAGGTCAGGAAATTAACTCCTGGAAAAGCTAAACCTATTCTAAATAAAATTGATTATAACAATAGAATCGTATTGTTCCATACATTATCCTTCTTTTTATACTCCAGAGAATTAGGGAGGTACTTGCCTGACCCATTTGGAAATATTATTTTGTGGCTCTGGACTTGAAAAGATGTTCAGTCCTTTTTGCCTAAAAACTTATTTTGGCATATTTCCACCAAGTTAATCTTTCTTACTGTCTACAGTATGCTAACAGCCTAACCATTCATATTAAATTACTGGTTTGTGCACATTTAACATACAAATGATGCAGAAGTAGCACAGAGAAAAACCAAAACATGCCACTGTAATTCTTAGTACAGTGCTGGGCTACAGAGAAAACAGTCACCAAAATAATATCAGTTAGACTTGATGGAAAAC